TCCCCGATAAGGGGAGCATAGGCGCGGTGGTGGCGGTGCGTTCACACGAGATCCCGCCACCACCGAGTTCCGCCCGAGTAGGCTGCCGCGGGGGTTTTAGTGGGTGAGAGTCCCACACTACCTCGGAATCCCACCCCAGGACTCCGAGGTGTGCATAATGCTTTTCCCCCGCCACAACCACACACCCAACATTTCACCAAACACAAGTTTAGGTATTACATCTAGAAAAAAAGGAAAAACAGGAAAAGGGTTTCTTCGTCGGACCCCAGAGCACATCGTGGATGTGTGTCCTGTATTTAGTGGGATGTTTGGTTCGTGGTTAACACTGAGTAGTGTGTGTTGGGATGTTGTGTGCCTGGTCAACACTGGGTGGTCTGTAGAAATAAATATAGTCGGTGTAATGATTGTCGGTAATCTAAACGTTTCGGTGAGTAAATATTATCGGCTAAATTCGGTGTCGATGAAATGATTGTCGGTAAGGCAAGGTTAATCCGACCACAGTATTGTTTACGCGTATTTCTCACACATGTGCACGCTCCACACTCTGTCGCCCAGCAAGGAAGGAAGAATACATACACAGGTCTGACCAAATTGTGCCATTTGGATAACCAGCAGGGGAGACAGTAAAATGAAGATTATTAAGCAAATTAAAAAAAGAGATGGATATGTAGCAGTTGAAATGGATAAGATTGTCTATTTCAACTGCAACATATCCCCGAATATTAATTTAGAAAATTTTACCAAAAACCTAGATGAGATAGAAAACACAGTTGGAGAAAACAAAGATAAACAGATTTTAATAGCTGGTGACTTTAACTCCAAATCAACCGACTGGGGATCGGTCAAAACAGACAAGAGAGGGACAATGGTACTAAATCTATGTGCTAAACAGAGGCTAATAACAGTCAAGAGTTCAGGACTATAATGTACCTTCGAAAAGAACAGGGCGACATCGATGATCGATATAATTATAGTTGACAATGAAACTTACCAGACATTACAAAGCAGTACAATATTAGATAATTACACCGAATCTGACCATAAATATCGTATACGTAATTTCAACACTACAAATACAAGTAATCTTAATAAAAACAACGGTAATAGTACAAATAATAGTTACAATGACAACAGGAATAACAATAACAATGATAACAGTAACAATAATGAGAATAGATATAATAATAATGGAAACAATAACAAGGGTACAATAAACTATAAAATTTTTTTACGAAACTATGATGTTAAAACCAAAGGCATAAACTACACAGAGTGGACGAAGAATAGTGTTCAGGATTACGCGAGAGGCCGTCGTGACGTCAGCCTCGCCAGCTGTAGCCCACGATACGTGGTCGCACGTACGCAGCATCTTCGGTAATCGTCGACCGAATTCGGCGATTATCGGCTCGCGCGTCTCCGTCCACGCGCTATCGTCACCTGGGCCATCTGTAGGCGACCTCGCATGATTAACACGCCGTCCTTGTCTCACTGACACATGTCTTTGTGTGACAAGCGCCTATCCTTGACGAACTCATCGGCTGTTGTCATGCGAGGTGCTTACGTGTGTGTTTTTTGGCCTAACAACTGACCCAGATTACCGTTAATCGAACGGTAATCCACACCAGTCTACAATTAGCTGCAAAAGTAAACGGTGCTGATTCTTTGACGCGTTTATTCTTTGTCCTGCACCGAAGTCACGCAATCACTCCACGCATGATTGTATTCGTCTTGCACTACATAAACGGAGACGTCTTTTCATTGTATTATCGGTTTTATCGTTAAAGTGGTGTTTATTTAAATGTGTATTGTGAACATTGTTCGGTAACAAAATGTGTTAGTAAAAGTCCACAAAGAGTGCAAGCCTTACAAGCTTTATTCGCCTCGTCATTATAACTCTTTGTACACTTTGGTCCTTCGTGTCGGATAATTTCGCGACCAGATGGTCTATTACAAAAAAAAATAAACTTGTGTATCGTGTCGTGACTGGTGTTGACCCGACAAGGTGACGAAGATGGCTGCCTGACTCAAGGAACAAGCGAGATTAAGGTACGCGATCAGCCGCGTCGTGGAAAATCTGAAAAGAAAGGGGGTCATAACCACAATAAAGGGATAGTTAGCGTTCAGATAGACCATCTAGACACGTTGTGGCGCACCTTCTCGAAAAACCACGACCAGCTCGAATCTACCGCCACAGACACTGAGAGACAAGAACACGACTACTTCGTACAAGGTTGGTACAACGAGACGGAGGAGACCTAACTCGATCAAAAGGGCACCCTATGCAACATCCTCGAGCGACTCACAGCCGAGGCGAGCAAAGTCACAATGACCGCTCCCTCCGAGGTTACGCCCACTCAGTTTCGTCCTGCCGTACAACCCATGCCAATACCGACCTTTGACGGGGACTATACCACGTGGCCTTCTTTCCGCGATTTATTCACCACACTGATAATCCGGAATCCCACTATGATGGACCTGGAGCGCCTTCACCACCTCAAAGGTTGTCTCGCTGGTTATCCGGAGATGTTAATACGGAACATGCCACTGGAGGCAACCAACTTCGTCGCTGCTTGGACCGCCCTGCAAGACTTACATAACAATAAACGAATCCTCGTTCAGCATCAGCTCAATCATCTGGAGGCCTTACCCGTCATCCGTAACCGCTCGGTGGAAGAGCTGAAGGCACTCCGCTTTAAGACGTGGGACGCCGTAACAACCCTCGCCGTTTTACGACACCCGGTCGATCGAAGTACTGATTGGCTGGTACGACAAACAGTAAATCGGCTCGACGAGCAGATCCGGATGGAGTGGCAAGTCTCCCTCGGCACCTCCACCGAACCAGCGTCGCTGGATACCATCAAGAATTTCTTGGACGCTCGGTCACTGGCCGTCGAAGCTGCCTCCTTGCACACAGGTATCGAGGTCCGCCAGCACACCCGGGTCCCGCGAAGTCCGTCAAGGTGCACCAGGTGTCCACTAGAAGAAAGATCGGTAAGACATGTGACCTCTATCAGGAATTACATTATATTTACAGCTGCGCACGTTACCGACAAATGAGTCCCGACGAGCGTCTGAGCACGGCGAAGCGACTACAGCTATGCCTGAACTGCTTCGGCAAACACCGCGTCGATGAGTGCCCCTCGGACAGGCGGTGCTTCCGGTGTTCGAGGAAGCACCACAGCAGCCTCCACGACGCTTGTTCGTCCAGCGGAGAAGCCACTGTACTGCACGCCCTCCATCACCAACTGAATACAGCAACTGCAGTCCTCAGCACCGATCGCATCCGCCTATTCACTGCGATGAGCACCTCTGTCGTGACGAGGGCTTTGGTGGACCCAGGGAGTGAGGTCCCGTTAATCTCTGAGACCCTCTCGCAGAGACTCGGTCTAAGGAGGATGCATTCCCGAGTTCCACTGATTGGAGTCGGCGGGACGTGAACCCAGGTGTCACGGGGCCAGGTTTCCGTGCCTGTGGCGTCGGTGCGCCACGAAGCACCAATGCTCAAGGTAACTGCTCTCATATTGCCCGAGATTTCTAGGTACCGACCTATACAACTCCCGGGACTAGCAGCTTGGCCACATTTCGAGGGCTTAACCCTCGCCGACCCCCACTACGCGGCCCATCACAACGTAGACGTGCTGCTGGACGCCGATGTCTACAACCGCTTACTGCTGGATGATGTCCGACGAGGAGAGTGCAATCAGTCCATGGCTCAGGAGACGAGGCTGGGATGGATCTTGACTGGGGACCTGCAGAAGACCTCGGAGGTTAAGACCAGCTCTGGGGCACTCCCTAGAGTACACTGCTGCACCATGGACCGTAACCTGGACGACTTACTATATCAGTTTTAGAGGCAGGAAGAAGTGCGGGTTGAGGTACCACCCACTCCGGACGACGAGGGATGCGAACAGCACTTCAAAACAACCTACAGCCGGATGCCAGAGGGGAGATTCATGGTCCGCCTTGCCTTCCACTTGACACCTCATCTCGGAACCTCGCGATCAGCGGCGCTCCGCGCACTGGAGTCAATCCAGCGCAGATTCCGGAAAGATGAGGACTTTGAGAGGGCTTACCGAGCCTTCATGCACGACTACGCTACTCTGGAATATATGGAGGTTGCCCGAAGACCACCTCTCGGACTCCATTTCTACCTTCCCCATCACGGTGTCCTGAAGGCCACCACTACCACGACCAAGTTGCGTGTCGTGTTCAACGGCTCCCGGTCAACAAGCTCCGGTAAGTCCCTCAATGACTGCCTCTATACAGGGCCCAATCTACTCCCTCCTCTGGCGGACGTGTTTCAACGATGGCGGCGTCACCTTGTCACGTTCACCGCGGACGTAGAAAAAATGTACCGTCAAATTCTCGTGCATGAGGACGACCAGGACTATCAATGGATACTATGGCGGGCGGAGCATCATGAGAAGGTGACGGACTACACCCTCTCCACCGTCACCTACGGACTAGCTTGTGCCCCGTACCTTGCCCTACGCTGCCTGCAACAACTCGCCACCGACAAGGAGGCCAAGTTTCCTCTTGGTGCAGCAGTAATACGGTCGGAGGTCTATATAAACGACGTCCTGTCCGGCGGAGCAACGGTGGAGGAGGCTGAAATGAAAAAGGGCCAATAAATTCACTCCTCAGGGTGAGCGGCTCCGTATTGCGTAAATGGGCTTCCAACTCACCTAAACTGTTGGAGGGCTCCCAGGACGGCGAGTCCAGTGCCCCGCTACACTGGGACTCTGAGTCGACTCACAGTGTCGTCGGTCTCCGGTGGTTACCTAATTCGGACGAGTTTCAGGTGAACGTCGCTCCACAGTCTGCTGACCACCGTTACACGAAAAGAACCACTCTGAGCCAGGCCGCACAAATCTTCGACCCCCTGGGATGGCTGGCTCCCGTCACCGTCTGGGCTAAAATCTTCACCCAAGGACTCAGGCTCTTGAAGACTGACTGGGACGCAGCGCTGCCCCCTCAGGAGGAAGACCGTTGGACAAAGTTCTTCCGGGAGTTAGTAGCTTTAGATACCATCAAAATTTCCCGATGGCTGGGACTGTCACCGGACTGGGACCGTGTCGAGTTTCATGGCTTTGCTGACGCCTCCAAGCAGCCGTGGTCTACCTCAGGGTCAATGAGAACGAGCAGGGAATTAGAGTCCGTCTGGTCGCTTCCAAGACCAAGGTCGCGCCACTGAAACGGACCTCGATTCCCAGGCTAGAATTGTATGCGGCTCACCTGCTGGCCCGATTGGCTGCTTACGTCGAGCCACAGACTGTGGTGGCGAGGACCCGAGTGGTTAGCCGTCACAAATACCTGGGCTGCAACCGAAGTCATCAACGTAGCCGAGGGGCAGGACAGCGACCTTCACTCCCTGCACATCCATCGACCAGACTACACGGACGAGGTGAGCGAGATCATCGAACGGTTCTCTGATTTACGGCGACTTCACAGGATCGTAGCTTGGTGCTTGCGGTGGTTCCCCTCACATCAGGGTGCCCGGTCAACACCCCTCACCGCTGCAGAACTCGAGGCTTCAAGCATACGACTTCTCCGAGCTGTCCAGAGGCTGGTGTTCCCACGGGAGATGAGCAGCTTTCAGGACGACCGGAGTCTCGATTCCCGAAGTCGCTTGCTCAAACTTAACCCGTTCTTGGACGAAGAGGGACTCTTTCGCGTTGGGGGGCGCCTCCACCAAGCTTCGTTCAGCTTCCTCCACAAGCACCCTTACATTCTGCCTAATGAGTCACCACTGGCTGCCCTCTGGATCGTCGACGCCCATCAGCGCTGTCTCCACGGCGGCGTCCAACTGACCCTGGCGACCTTAAGGCAGACGTGCTGGGTATTACGGGGACGCCAGATGGTAAAGAGTTGTCCATAAAAAATTGTATTACCTGCGTTAAATGGCGCGGTCAGGCGGCCAGTCAACTTATGGGCAACCTTCCTTCCGCTCGCGTCCGTCCGGGTCGAGCCTTCTTGTGGGTGGGTGTCGATTACGCGGGGCCGATCTCGATAGTGTCCGCCCGAGGTCGAGGACAACGCGCGCGTAAGGGCTACGTTGCAATTTTCGTATGCATGACAACACGCGCCGTCCACATCGAGCCCGTGAACGACGGCACCACTGACACCTTTCTCGCCGCGCTCAAACGGTTCGTCGCTTGTCGAGGGCGGTGTTGTGACATCTTCAGTGAATTGCGCGAACTCCTACGTTCGTGTCACTCCCCCCTCCAAGATCTAGTCTCTGCCGTCGCGAGGGAAGGGATCGAGTGGAGATTCAACCCCCCCCCCCCTCTGCTCCGCACTTTGGGGGGATCTGGGAGGCCGCGGTCAAATCGGGGAAGCACCACCCGCAGCGAGTTATCGGGGAACAACACCTCCCGTACGAGGAGTTGGCAACCCTGTTGACCGGTATCAGGGCTTGCTTAAATTCACGACCGTTGCAGCCTCTTACAGACGATCCTGACGACCTCGATGCACTCACCCCCGGCCACATTCTTATCGGTGAACCGCTTCTCGCCATACCAGAACCGAATCTGGAGGACGTCAACGCGACGCGACTCTCCCGGTGGCAATTCCTGAGGCAAATGCAGTCTCGATTCTGGCGTCTGTGGACTCAGGACTACCTAAACACTCTGCAGATGCGTAATAAGTAGCTCCGGCGCCAACCATCAACGCGCGAGGGGGATCTGTGCCTACTAAAATCCGAATTGCAGCCACCTACACGATGGCCGTTGGCACGCGTCTGCCACCGGTGCACCCGGGCCCCGACGGATTAACTCGAGTCGTGACCGACCGAATGGCCTCCTCAGAATTCGTTCGGCCCATTCACAAAATCATATTGATGCCCTCGATAACCTCAGGAGATTCGCATAACACCGCCGACACTATACGAAATACGCCCCGAGCGCCGGCTACGACGTAGATTCACTCACGTCGTAATTGTATATAGGGTGAGGCCCTAACTATTGCCACCTAGAATAACTCCGAAAGTATGATAGTAGTAGAAAAGTTTTCGAAGCAAAAGTTGCATGGGACAACAGGGGCTGTTATATGACGTTACGTTTTTGTTGCTAGGTGGAGTCGCTTCAAAGATTTGAAGGTCAACTTTCTTTTTCTCTTTTTCTAGATAGAATGCTATGTTTTGGTACTTATTTTCTCATAGCGGCTATCGTGACGAATCCAATGATGTGCAACATTAAGGTCTTTGAAGGTCAACGAAGGTTATTTAAGGCAAAAAGGTGAAATGAACTTACATTTACAGAAGGTGTTCAAAGTGATTACCATTGGTATTAATGCAATGCTGCAATCTCCTTATCACGGATTGAGTACTATTTGTTATCACTTCGACACTTATCGAATCACATGCTCTAACAGTTCTCTTTCGCATATCGCGCAAATACAGTAAATATTTACTAAATACGGCGTGTTTATCAAACCTGACAATGTAAACACTTTTCGGACGATATCGCAAGCAACAATAACAGCGGTGTACGAAGAACGTAACAAGTAATAAGAGCGGTAAGCCTAGTATCATCGAATCAAGCGAATGTAAATGATGTATTCTTTCGAAGAACAAACCGATATGCTTCTCATTTACGGAGAATGCCAGCAAAATTCAGTGAGAGCTAGAGACTTATGCGCTGAAAGATATCCTCAACGTTCTCACCCTACACGCCGTACATTTAAATATTTGTACGATAAATTGAGAACAACTGGATCCTTAACCCATCGGAAAAATAGCCGGCAAAAGCAAGTAACTAACGAAGAAACGGAAATTGATATTCTTGCCACTGTGGTTCGAGATCCTTGCGTTAGTTCGCGTCAAATCACAAGAGAATCTGGCGTAGGCCAGAGAAGTGTTATTCGTGTTCTGTGTCGCCATAAATATCATCCTTACCATATCAGTCTTCAGTGATAGTAAGATGAGGAAAAAGTAGGTATATCGAGCCTATCCCCCCCTATATGCAACTAATTGTAAGTCGAGCAAGTGAACAGTTGACTAACGGGAATAACGCGCGTGTGATTGGTGCATTTTTCCTGGAAATTGGCCCTCTACAGTCCCGAAAGATACAATAAATGAGCCTGTACTGTATCTTTTATTATTTTATAAGCAAACATATATTTTACTACTGTAAAACAACTATTGTCTAATTCAATATTAACGTACGGATTTTCAAAGAAATTACTGTAGGGATTTGATCGGGTTGTCGGTTGAGACAATTATCCCACGTGTTTATAGGTGTAAGTAATTTTATTAATAGAATAAAATGCGTACTTTATAATATCGGATGGATTCTCGCTACCTCACAATACTCGCTATCTCACAATACTCGCTATCTCTCACTGCTCGCTGTTTTACCCCATGTCTCTCTCGTTGCTTCGCGGTTTATATCAGTTTTCGGCTACGTATTCGCTTACATGCCTACCTCGCGGTTATCGCCCTTTACCTCTCTTTCTCTCTCACACACACACTCTTTCTCTCTCACATTTGCACTCATCGGTCGCTCACCTATCGCACGCACCCATGTGTTGTTTATGCTTCGTGCCGTTGACACCAGCCAACGGCCCGCGTGCGCGTCTTATCGGCTGGCGAGGACACGCTTTTGTCCTAGTCCTCGCACAGTGGCTATCCGTCTCCCACACTCGGCCATCCTACACAAGTATCTGGCCTCAGATACACTCTGCATTTTCTTCGTCGCTTTGATCGGATTCGAAATCATGCACCCAAATTTTCATATATTCTGCCGCTGTACTCGTTTCCCTCGGACCATCGTGGTCGCCTACTCTTTCTACGAGATATCGGTCGTTTCGCAGCGCTCTCGTTACACGATACGGACCAAAATATTTTCCCGACAATTTCGCTCCTGGCCCTTGTTGAGTCCTTTTGATCGCCACTAGATCACCGATTGCATAATTTCTCGCGGTTTTTCGGCGCTTGTAAAAACTATTTCTGTTTTCTCGCTGTACTTCCGTAATCTTTTCCCTAGCGTATTCTCGCAACTCGCATCTGCTTTCGTCGAAAAAGGTAGTCCATTCGCGTTCTAAAAGTTCTCGCAGAGGCGAATCATTTTGCAGTCGCATATTAACCTCGAACATTACCCGAAAAGGAGTCAGCCCTGTACTGCGACTAACCGTAGCGTTCAAAAACCTTTGGCAACGATCAAGGTGTCGATACCACTCTTCTGGGCGAGGTGCTGCAAGTTTAGTTAGGATGGGTATCAAGATCCTATTTATCTGTTCTACTTGCCCATTACTTCGCGGCATCCCAGTGGTGATTGCTATATGTTCTATTCCCTCTGTTGAACAATAACTTCCGAATTCGCTCGAGGTGAAAGCCGTGCCGCGATCGGATATTATACGGCGCGGATTCCCGAAAACTACAGATTGTTTTCTAAGCCTATCTATTACTTCGGCAGACGTTGTTCTTTTGGTTGCGTATAACCACACAAATTTAGTGAAACCGTCAACCACTAGGAAAATGTGCCTGTAATTTTTCCTGGTAGAAACGAGCGGTCCTACATGATCCACATGAAATGTATCTAAAGGGGTTTCGCCCTTTTCCACTGGGTGCGAAAGCCCTCTCCCTTCCCATGTTTCCCTTCCAAAATGTCCAACCTCGTGAGCTCGTCTGATTACGCTGGTCTGCATCGACCGTGGTACTACTAATTTATAATCGCCATCGATGGCTTTAAATAAAAGATCACCTTGCACGCAATAGCCGTCAATCGGGTTTTCCTTTATTGCATCAAGAAGCCTACTGATGCCCTCGTCCGATATCTGAGCTTTCCTTAGCCGTGCACCTATGCTATCGTCGCTCTCGCTGATTACCATGCATTCGGGCAACGGTAACGACTGAGCGCATCTACATGTCGCATACTATTTCCCGAACGGTGCTCCATTGTGCACTGAAACTCTTCGAGTAACAATGCCCATCGCGCCACACGCACGCAAAGATCCCTTTTTCGCATAGTCAGGGCGAACGCGCGGCAATCTGTTACGATTTTGAACGGTATACCCAATAGGTATACACGAAACTTTCGCAATGATTTGATAATCGCCAAGCACTCTAACTCGTAGCTGGTGTAGTTGGCTTCTGCTGCGTTCGTTTTACCGCTTGCGTAATACACCGAGTGTAATGCTCTATCAATGTTATCACGCTGCAGCAGAATGCTTCCGAATCCGAATTTCGATGCGTCT